ATAGAATAGACTCTCTTGAATAGAGTCTAATTCTATTGGCTTTCAAAAGCCAATAGGAATTGTCCAGGCTGTCTCTGCCCTGCTGAGCCCGCCAAAAGTCCCATTCTGCAAACGGTGCTGCACCAGTTGAGTAGTCCTCAACTTATGACCGGTTGGGTAATCCTCGACTTACGACCAGTTGGGGGTCGCGGCATTAAAAAGGTTGAGAACCACTGATATAGGGTTTTCCTGGGCTACCAGTGAAGTAAAGCCCTTCTAATTTTTTTTTAAACCAACTTACGGATCAGCAAGCATAATTGGCAGTGCGGTTTCCTGTATCTTGGATGGCCTGTTAAAACCCATGCCATAAATACCTTGCAGAAGTTCTGGCTTTCTGTTAAAACACCAAAGGGTACAAATGTACTGCTGAACAATTCATAACCATTAATAATAATGGTTATTAATTGTTATTGTTATTAGAAACAGTAATTAACAAATGCATCAAGGTGAATGATTTGGAATTGTTTTTAAATATTTATTGTTTTATTCTAAAAAATAAAATACAAAACAGTAAAACAAACGAACAAGATGAAACAAAAGCACACATTCAACCCTAACAACAGCAAAAAAAGAAAAAAAAACCCTAGATTCTACATTTAATATGTAGGATCCACCCTGCCTGGTTGTTGAAAGAAAAGAAAAAGCAGTAAATTCTCTCCCCATTTTACAAGTATACATACATAAAAGAAGAGGAAAAAGCAGTCAACTGGTTAAGTTGAATAATACACTAATATTCAAATCCCTCTGTTAACCATCTTTTATTATATATTATAGGTAACTTTATAAGCAACTGGAAACTGTGGACTTTCTGTATGCTAAATATAATGATTTGGACATTCTATTACTCACAAATGCAGCTTTTCAAAGGTTGTTACAGAAAACAGTGGTGATTTGGGATCTCGTTGTAGAATCTCTACACGATGACTCGATTCCACTAGAGACCTCCGGATCAGCTTATTCAGGAGAGACATTTCTGCCAAACTCACTGGGTAAAGGGAGAAAAATAAAACAGTTAAGCATCCTGTCTGGAAGAAATGGACCTGGAAGAGGAGAGGGCGCTGCTACTATATACTGATACGATCTTTCAAAACTGCCTGGACAGTGGCTTTTTCACCAGGCTACAGGCAAGATTGTACCAAAGAAAAGTACCGATGTTTGATATTTCTTGCCCTGCTCCAGTTTATATTCCTTCCCCACCAGCTGGATTATACACTAAGCCAGTGGTTCTCAACCTTTTTAATGCCGCGACACCCAACCGATCGTACGTCGAGGACTACTCAACCGGTCGTAAGTCGAGGACTACTCAACTGGTACAGCACCGTTTGCAGAATGGGACTTTTGGCGGGCTCAGCAGGGCAGAGACAGCCTGGACAATTCCTATTGGCTTTCGAAAGCCAATAGAATTAGACTCTATTCAAGAGAGTCTATTCTATTGGCTTTCAAAAGCCAATAGAATAAAAGGGAGTAGCACAGCTAAGGAAAAGGGGGGAAAAAATGGCGGACTGCGTTGTTTGGCGACCCCCGTGAAATGGTCGTTCGACCCCAAATGGGGTCCCGACCCACAGGTTGAGAACCACTGCACTAAGCCATATAGGCAGGTGCCTTAAGTGCTACAGCAGAAAAGTCAGCCAGGTGAATAATTACCTGAATTGGAGAAGACTGAATTGAAACCATTTCAACAAATGGCTTCACAATTTCTTCGCCAAACTCAAACAGTTCAGAAATTGCCTCTTCCCATGAGAAATATTAAGTGTATTAAATGGATGCCTTCATCAATGAAAAACTTTGGCAGCCGGCTTTTGTCTTTTGGGGGAGAGAGGGAGGGAAGAATCTATCAATCCCCAGAAAATGAACTAAGCGTCAAGTGGAATTGCATTTAAATGCATTTCCTTTTCATCTTTGGCAACAAGACAATAGGAACAGTTGTTCAGCAAGTAATGGTTAATCTGTAAAGCTTGCTTAAATTCTGCCTTGATATATTGACTCCAACATGTAAATCTGCATACGTTGGATAAGGATGTACACCTGAATATAAGACTTTGGTTAACGACCAGTTGTTTATCAACTGTTTTGAAGTTACAGCAGCACCAAACCAACAGTAGTTACGTCTGGTCCCTGAAGTTAGGGCCTTTGCAGGTCATCTGCTGTCATAGGACCAAATTTTGGATATTTGGCGGCTCACCTACACTTAGAATCACAAGGGGTTTCAACTCCCCCCCGCCTGTTTGCCCACCCTGCACTCTGTACCCATCATCTTCTTTTTCATACACGTTGTCCACAAATGGGTGGGGTTTTTTTTCTCACAAAGGGGATGTAAATGCTGGTTTCCGGCAAAAAATGTTGTAAATTCTGGTCACGTGACCCCAGGATGTTGCAAAAAGCCGAAAAACGTTGCCAGGCACCAAAATGCAATCAGACCTTGGGCCTGAGCAAGGGGTTGGACTAGATGACCTCCAAGGTCCCTTCCATCATCATCATCATCATCGTCATCATTATTATTTTATTATTATTATTACTATTATTCCTGGGGAGGTCTGTTAAAAGTGGCGGGTTGTTTAACAAACAATTAGTCAATTTTAAGAGAGAAGGGAGCACTTTTGGAATATCTGATTACCGGGAAAAGTGCCCGCAATCTGAAAGGACCCAATCTAGACATTGGTGGTCTTCAAACTTGGCCCTTTTATGATTTGTGGACTTCAACTCAGCGTGCCTAGCTGAGGAATTCTGGGAGTTGAAGTCCACAAGTCATAAAAGGGCCAAATTTGAAGACCCCGGCATATTATTTCAACCATAGCTAGGGCTAAGTACAGCTAAGTATATCATCCACAATCCTACCTCTGTCATCATCCTGCTCGTCCTCTGTCTCCAAGCTCATGCTGTTCCTCCTGAAGAGGCATCCTTAAAAGGAATGTTCCGAAAATTTTTAGATTGGTCCATGCTATTTTTAAAAATCTTAAATACCACTAAGAAACATTTCAAGTCCAATTTAGGGATTTATGGCTCTGCAGCATTTGAAATTATACAAACACATGCGCACATATTCTAGTACCTGCATTAGAAGCCATCTATAATACTTGGACGGACGATCAATAGTTCCCACACCACAGGTTGAAACCCACTGATCTGGACAAGGCAGATCAATACAAAAATATTAATACAGTACAGTTTCTGTTAACACTGTAAATCAGTGGTTCTCAACATTTTCTTCACACAGCCCTCTTCTAAATATCTTTTATGGCCACAGACCACCAAGACCTAATTCAAGAGATAAATCATAACATTTCTTCAAGCCTTGGTGCACCCCATGACATCACAGCCACTCCCAGGGGTCCGCGGACCACAGGTTGAGAACTACTGCCGTAAGTAATAAACAATGAGCTCCAGATATTCACGCAGTGGACAAGTAATCCGTGGCCTGTTAGGAGCCAGGCTACACAAGTGGTAGACGAGCAAGTGAAACTTTATCTGTATATGAACGGGATCTAGGTTGCACATGAAACCATTCTCTCCCCCCCCCCTCCCAGGTCCATGGAAAACAATTTTTCTTCCAAAACCGGTCCTTGGTGCCAGAAAGGTTGGGGGCCTCTAGCTTAAATCCTCATACCAATATTCACAAGGAACTAATAATGTTCCTTGCAAATAGTGGTATGATGATTTATAAATTTATGTCTTATAGCTCAGCAATTCAAATATTTCTTGTATGCATATTAGGACTTAGAAAACTTAGACAGCTTAGAAAACAGGGCTGTTGTGGTCTTTAAACAATAAGTACCTAAGCTCACCTCTTACCTGTCCCTGAGAAAAGCTGAGGATTTTGGAGAGGTTTTCCAACAATACTTGGCCTGCAAAGCTATGAGCACAAAAGACAACAAACCATCTGAGACTCAGTAGTTCTACACAGCCAAGCCAACACCAATAGTGCTACAATGTAATTTAACCATAGTTAGTCAATAGTTTAATTAAACTTGTATGCTATCCGATTCTCAACAAATCTGGGCAATAGATAATCAAAAGATGGTAAATGGGTGTGTAGATGGATGATACATGGATGAAGTAAGGAATATATCAAGGTTGGAGCCATATGAATCTCTGCGGGAATATTGCCTGCCATCGACACACCCCGCCAACACCACCACCCACCCTGTGCAGCCCCGTGTAGAGAGGGCCCCACGGTTCCCACAGCACAGTATCTTCTGAACTAACTAGGAGCTGGTGTAGTTGGGCAGCAGGCAGGGACGCTAAGTTCCTACCAATTCGCCTTCGCTGCAGACAACTTGCATGTGCAAAGTTTGCAGGTTGGGTGTTTGGCGCGTGCAGCAGCAATTCCTATTGGCTTTCAAAAGCCAATAGGGGGAGTAGCACAGCTCATGCAAAAGTTGAAAAAAAAAAGTTGAAAAAAAAAACATCCCCCCAAAAAAACATCCCACGCCGTTCTGAGTGTTCTAGGAGATAAAAAAAAAAAAAAAAAAGCCCTGCAGATTAGTCTTCAAATATGGAAAAGGAGGACATGTAGGACACTTTTCGAGGGAGGACAGAACTCACAGAAGGAGGACGTTTGGTCACCTTAAGTCAGTGTTTCCCAAACTTGACAATTTTAAGGCATGAGGACTTCAACTCCCAGAATTCCACAGCCAGCGTTGCTGGCTGTGGAATTCTGGGAGTTGAAGTCCTCATGCCTTAAAATTGTCAAGTTTGGGAAACACTGCCTTAAGTCGTAAAAAGCACACAGAGAAGTAGCAAAGCCTCTGGGCATGCGCAGACATCCCCTTTTAATTTCCCCACCATTATTCGGGATGTGGGTTTGGGGCGCCTTCGGAGGAGAGGGAGACGGGGGGGGGGGAAGCTCCCCGCCTGCTCTTACGTTGTGCTCCACGTGCCCGGCGTCTCCCTTAGGCCGCCCCCCAAGCCCCATCGTTAAGTACTTCGGCTTCGCCCACATCTCGCCCTCTCCCCGAGGGCGACCCAGAGCGGCAACGACAGTTACGCGCTTGCGGGAATCAAGCGGGCGCGACCACTCGCTCTTTACAACCGCTGGAATGGGGCGGGACCGCCGCCACTGTTGCTATGGAAACCGAGCGGAGGGGCGGGGGCTCGGCGGCCTCCTCACGTGGCCCGCTCCGCTCCGCCTTCCCGCCCCGCCCAGAAGTTGCCGTTTTAGGCTGGGCGAGGGAAACGCGGATGACGTAACATCCTTGACGTTCTACGGCAGGCCACGCTGGGGAGGCGGTCTTCTGGACCAGAAAGACTCCACTTCCCAGAAACCTTCGGGACAGGGCGCGTCATTTCCGGTCTGGAAGCTGGCCCGTGGAACGGCGCTCGGTGCTCTTCGCCTGCAGTCCCCCCGTGGGTAGGAGCGGGCTCTGGCCCTGCGCGTGGCGGAGGATCGCCCGCACGCCTCCGCGGGGTTGACGCAGGAACCAATTGGCTCCTGGTACCTTGGGGATGGCGCCGGAGGATCTCTTGGGTGGAGGGGAGGAAACTCATTTAAAGCAGCTTCTTCGACTTGGCAGCCTTATAAAGGACCGTGCCACATGTGCGTGTTTTTTTGCGGGAGCACACGCCGGAAAATGTACGTTTTGTAGTAGGGAGCGGTTTTGTTTAGCCATAGTCAGGGGTAGGCAACCTTGGCTCTTTTAGGACTCGTGGACTTCAACTCCCAGAATTCCTGAGCCAGCACAGCTGGCTCAGGAATTCTGGGAGTTGAAGTCCACGAGTCCTAAAAGAGCCAAGGTTGCCTCCCCCTGCCCAGTTATGTGAATTCACGAAGAATATTCGTAGGTCAGGGTTGAAATGAAGGGCCCTTGGTGTTCTCTGAGCTTGGTCCTTTGCTTGCAAAGGCTTCATTATCAAAACTAGGTGATATTATCATTGATGATGACACTAGTTTGCAGGAAAACCACCAAGCTCAGAAAGCACCAAAGACCCCTCCTCATCTGAATTACCTGCACCCTCTGAATTACCTGCACCCTCCCTATTCGAAATGGTTTTGTACTGTCGCTTTCTTTTTAAACCCACCTATTTGAATTAACATTTACTTCTTGGTTCTTTGTATTTTTCAGTAAGCAAACTACATTATTGTTCCTAAGATAAAACTTCCGTGTGTAGGAAGCATATTGCTTAAATCAGTGAAGAAAATATCCTGCCATTCTGACGTCTATCTGTGAAACAGCATTTTCACATAACAAGGAAGTATACCTGTTAACCTGTCTCTCATTCCAGAGGAAGGTTTACTTCTGTAGCTCTGAACAGCAACTCTAATGCATTCTGAAAAGCAGGGGAAATGAAGTTTGGCCTTGAAAAGAATAAAATAATCATTTCACTTCATACATTTAATTTAATCTATACATCCAGAAGTTAAAACTTTTTAAAAGTACAGGAGTTCAAAAAGGGAATGTGTGTGAAGTATCTTGGGGGGGGGGAGGGAACCAAACAAGGATCCTTTTTCTTGACTGTGCTTCAGTAGGTTTTGATTCATCTTCTGCCTGCCTTTTTATAAGGTAATATTTACATTCAAATAATATGATCGGAAACGACGATAGGTTTTAAAAAATCTTTTGCCAGAAAGTAGCCATTCAGATCCAAAATACATTTTAAGATTAAACGAGTAGGGTTTGGAATTGGAAAGAAATAAAAATAGCCTAGCTGCATGAGCTTAGCTCTTTGGGATCTACCAAGTTCTTCTGTGTGTGACCTTTTAAAGATTCCAGGCTCTTAGGAGGAATAGACGTTTCTAGGCACCACGCCGTTTGCTAAGTCACAGCGTATTCCCCAGCGCAGGGCAGATCTCTTCTTCTCTGTAGGCACCAGGTAATTGTTGGGGATATAAACAGGCTGAGCCTTAGGAGGCAGTTCTGACTTGTAGAGCATCTGTTCCCGAATGCTCCAGCGCACACCTTTCCTGGGATCTTCTCCTGGAAGCCGCAGGGATTCCCAGTTGTGCTTGTGTTCCAGGTAACGGGCAACCCGATCAGTCTTCGTTCGGTTCCGATTGAGCTGCTCCAACTTTGGTAAGATGAAGGACTTGGGGTGGGCAGTTAGGATGAAGTCCTGCTCAAAGGATGAAGAGCTGAGGCTCTGGCTGTCTTTCCGGGAACACTGATGCCGGCTTTCCTCCGAAGGGCTCCAGGAGCAGACTGACCCAGGGGAACTTTGGGGCCGGTTCCCCTCCACACACTCTTCCTCCTCTTCCTGAGCATTCAGGAGGTACATTCTCTGATTTAAGTTCTCACATTCGGGACTGGATTGTTGGACGCTTGGATTATTGGATTCGGTCTCACTAGTGATGGATTCATCTGTCACTTGCACCTCTCCATCAGGCGTTCGCCTCAGAACTTTCCTTTTCATCACAGGTTTCTTAGAAACTCTGGAATTCTCGGGGTCGTCTGACTGGAAGCTGGATTCGGTCTGACCTTGCCTGATCACTGTGGGAAGCATCGGTCTGGCCACTGAGGCCACCGAGGCTCTCGGGTAGGGGTCCAGCTGAGGGGCCGCTTGAAGCTGCCTCGGGCTATCACCATCACCCTGTTCGGCACACATGCGAATAAAGTCCATGGCGGCTTCTTTGAGCCGTTCTTCCCTGCTCATAGAGTTCCATCGGTATCGGTTGGGTCGTATCAGGGCTTGCATTGCTTCTCTCAGTCGGGGTAGTTAGCAGTTCTGGAAAAAGAGATGCCAAGCTGGGTTTGTACAGTCTGATAAGCTTTACAACTCGTGCGTATTGCTCAACCCCATTTCTATCAGCCCATCTTATTATTTATAAATAGGATGGGTTTTTGCGACGGTTGTGAAGGCTACCCCTCCCCAGCTCCTTTGGCCAGATAGGCTGAGACACACCTAGTGCACATCCCAACTTTTTCAGGCAAAGGCATATTCACCCAATCCCTTCCTCTCCTGGAGATGATTTGGGGGAGTGTAGTAACTCTCCAACAGCTTGATAAGTGCCTGCGATTATTCTAGGGAGCAAGGACGGAGTTTATTTCTGAAGAATATATAAGCCTAAGAAGGAATGTACAGTAGTGCTTTGTTATTTATCTCTCAATGCTCTTTAAGTCCGTTTCCCCCCCCCCTGCAAACTCAGTAATTACCGGCATTTCAGTTTTCCTTTAAAATAACTTGTGGCTTTGCAATACCTAGAATCCTTTTCTAAATAAGAATAGTAAAATGGTGCACTTTCCAGTGAAACCAATTTGTGTGTTTCCCTTTTCTTTTAAACCACCTTCTCACTTAACAACTTAGAGCAGCTTTAAAACAAAAACTTATTTATTTAATTTAACTTCATACGGACTGACTCCAATCAACTCTGGGCAGTTCACAATATAAAAACAAATAACAAATATAGAGAAAAGACAACAACAAGATGGCAGGATTTTCCGAGTTAAACATATCATAAACCTGCCAGCCTAACTCAGTAACTAGGAAAAGGATCAGGCCTTTAAAGCTCTCTGGAACACCATTAGGATTGAAGCCCCTCGCATCTCATTCCAGAGGGCAAACACCACGATGTAGAAGGAATGCTTTTGGGGTCCCGATAAATGGCATTAGTTGGCATGCTCTGAATGCCTTCAGGATGCCAGCAGGGGTTTATTTGCTTGTATATTAATATGCCTACCTGGGAAAGATACCTTTTGCTCCTCTTTAGCCAACTTAGAAATGGAGGGTCCCAGGAGAAAGGTGGTTTAAAGCTGATTCTTCTGTAAGTGAACAAAAGCAGACACGCTCAGTTCTCAGTAATTAAAATCATAAAATCCCAACAAGCTTTCTCTACAGAAACCAAACAACGGTCAGCAAGCAAGCAGCAAATTAAATTTTCTCCAGCCGAATAGCTTCTAGCAGCATATACAGATTGCACGAGTTTGGTTATTCCCAGAAAGATCCTTTTTCCACTTCCATTGCATTTTCATATTGCAGGATTTTTTTTTTTTTTTAATAGCATTCCACCAATGGCCCAAGGCACAGAAGAAACAGAAAGGCTACTGAAGAGAATCCAGGAGCTGGAAGAGACGGTGCAAAAGCTAGAAGGCAGGCTGTTGGAGAACAGGAAAAGCCCAGGCGAAGGGAATGGCCTCCCAGCATCAGGAAAGGGGAAGAAACGTCCACAGCGGCCGTTCAATTTCAGTGCGTATGCCCAGAGGCATGTGGCACTAAAGATCGCCTACCTGGGGTGGGAATATCAGGGCTTTGCCAGCCAGGAGAACACCCACAATACAATAGAAGAGAAACTCTTTGAAGCTCTGGGAAAAACTCGGTTGGTGGTCAACAGACAGACTTCTAACTATCATCGCTGTGGACGCACCGACAAGGGAGTCAGTGCTTTTGGACAAGTAAGGCTCATATTTAATTTACACTAAAATGAGGATGGGGCGAACACAGAACATGTGTTATTGCAACAAATAATGCTGTCCCCCCCCCACAACTTTTTAAAAGGCTACGTCAACATTAATTGTGCAAAAATGCTTAGTGAACTTCATTAACAATCTCTTCTGTAACTTAAGAGTCTGATAGCACCTTTTCCAATTAATAAATATTAAATAAGCTTTTGTGAAGTACAGCTCATTTGATCGTATTCACCTGGTAAAAGCTTACAACTGTTAATAACATGTTTAGACAATAAAGGGTGCTTTCAAAATCCTGATTTTTTTGGCCACCACAGAGCTCTCTTCCTACAACTCATATAATTTAATGTGTGCTTTTTTAAAGATTTGGGCTATTGCCCATCTTATAAGCCAATATTTAGTTAACTGCACAATCAAGTTAGAACTCAGTAATATTGTTATATAGCATGATAACTGTACAGTTAGAAAACTCTGAACATAAGAACAAAAACTACTTATTTATTATTAATGCATTGCAACGGTTTAAATTATACCATTTGTAAGTAGACAGTTAAGAGTGCATCTATTATGAAATTAAGAGGTGAGCCTGAGAATCGATCTACAACCGATGACAATCTATTTCTGCAAAAAGATTTAGCTATTTAGAAAAGGTCTATTATTATAAGTAACAAACATCTGTTTAATCAAAACAATTAAGGTCCAGAGTTCCCAGGAAAAACTACTCCAAAACATTTATAAAGCATTATAAAATGCTTTAATGGACAATGGGAAACTTTTGTTATACATAAATGTCTGTTAAATGCAAAACTAACATCTGTTAAATGCAAAAGCACTTTATATAATTTGTCATTTCCATTACAGTAATGTCATTTAGGCCAAAATGTATTCTGTGCCTAACACCATTATGCAAATGACCTATAATTGTCATGGAAATGTAGTCCATTGCACGCAGAATCTTATAAAGCCCCACTAAATCAAAATTATTTCTACTGCAATCCCAATGATAGTGGTATTTCAGCATTAAGGTTCTGGTTGTAATTATATTTTATTGGCACAAGAGGCACTTCTGAACGTATTATAAGTAAACAGAAAAATTATGAAAACAACAGGATATCAAAAAAATTATACCTCAGCCAGTTAGCTGAAAGCTCTTCACCACTGGATTAAACAGGAAAATCGTTCAATGATAATTCAACTGAAAATGTGTATCTAACTCTAGAATCACAACTTTTTTTGCAATGTTTCAGGTGATCTCTTTGGATCTCCGGTCAAACCTTTCAGAGAATAAATCTGGGGTTGCAGCAGAAGGTAAAGGTCCTATTTCAGAGATCCGCTACACCCATATTTTGAATCAGGTACTCCCTCCTGACATAAGAGTATTAGCATGGGCCCCTGTAGATCCTAGCTTCAGTGCTAGATTCAGTTGCCTGAAGAGGACCTATCGCTATTTTTTCCCCTGTGCGGATCTGGATATCGCTCTTATGCATGCTGCAGCTCAAAGATTTGTAGGGAACCACGATTTTCGTAATCTCTGCAAAATGGACGTCGCCAACGGTGTGACCAACTTTCAGAGGACAATCCTGTCTGCAGAAGTGAAGCTTGCAGATCAAGAAAGGAAAGCGGAAGAACGAAACCCTTTCCAAATGTATGTGTTTCAAGTAACGGGACAGGCATTCCTCTATCACCAAGTCCGCTGCATGATGGCCATCCTCTTCCTGATTGGACAAAGGGTGGAGAAGCCTGAGATTATTGATGAATTGTTCGATATAGAAAACAATCCTAGGAAACCACAATACAGGTAGGAATTCCTGAAAGCATGCACTCTCTTACTGCATTGGCACTGGCTCCCTATATCTGAGCATGCCTTGTTAAAATTATATTTCATAATTTGGATCTCTTGTCAAAAGCTATAGCATTTTCAAAGCAATGTGCATTCTGTTGGAATTTGTACTAATTCAAGTTGATTACCTTGCAGCATGGCAGTGGAATTTCCTCTAGTTTTATATGACTGTGAGTTTGAAAACATCCAGTGGATCTATGATCATCAAGTCCAGGAATTTAACGTTACACGCTTTCAGCAGCTTTGGACGAACCACGCTATTAAAACTCAGATGCTGTACAGTATGTTATGGGGCCTGGATTTTGCAAAGATAACTACAGAGCCAGGTAGGAAGAATGATATTTTTAAACTGTATTGAAATGAAGCTTCAATTTAACATGTGGTAGATAAAATCTGCTGGTATTCTATGTACTTTGGTCTATTTGTAAAATTCAATTTTGTCATTTTATACACATGTACAACTCTCTTCATATATACTCAGCATTTTGTTTTGAAAGAACCATTTCCTTTTATTTAACTAATATATCCAGCAATATGTTAAAACTGTATTAACTGGAGTGGTTTTAACAAGTTCCAATATATTTAGAACTACTTCAAAGGTCAGAAGCAACTAGTGAATTAAATGCTATGTTTTTTTTTTTGTTTTGTTCTGATGACGACTAATTGTTGATTACAGCTTCAAGCAATAGCACAACAATACTCTGGAGAGAGGTAACACCACCAGTCCACAACCAGATTAGTGCTTTAATCGAGGGAGTGAAAGCCCGCAATTACAAACCGTTAATGGATCGGCCCAAATGTGAAGGTCTAGAATCTCGTATCAGTCATTTTGTGCGCAGAGGACGCATTGAACAACCAAATTTGAAAAAAACAAAGCATCCTGAAAGGGAATTTGATGAGCAAATGGAAATTAAGAGCAACCAGGTGGATTCTATTGAATTCAACAAGGAAATTCCAGAACAAGCTGCAAAAAGGATATGTATTAGTACAGACTGAATTTTATTGACGCTATCTTGCTATCTTTAAACAAATGAAATTACCTTAAGCAGATATCTAAAATTATAATGGTTATTACATTACATGTAGACTTTCATACATTCCCTTTAACCTTCAAAAAATAAATATTTTGTTATATAACTAACAGGCAGATATCCAATTATTAAAAAAAAACCTGAATCAGATCCTGATATTACGTTTTTGTTTAACCATTAGATACTTTCTATATGCAGCTATAAACAGTTGTAAATAATGATCCTAAAAATTATACTTGCCAAAACAGTAATTCAGAATATGGTGAAAGCTATACAAGTAGGTAACGCTTCCAAGGGAATTGTATTTTAATAATTTAGTTTTCTCCAGGAAATACTAGTTATGCAAATTTCTCGGTCCTTTACAGTTCTCATATTTTTAAAAAACTTTTTTTTACCTGTTTTAAACATTTGGTGAGAATTAGTCTGGCATACAGGGTAAGGTATTGGCTAGAAAGCAGGAGATTATGAGTTCTAGTCCCACCTTGGGCACAGAGATATAATGTCAAACTATTTTCTGAAAAACCTTATCAAGAAAACTTGTCCAAGTGGTCTTCGAGAATTGGATATCATTGAACAGAAGAAAAATCTGAATATGATTTCATTGTCTCTCATGAAGGAAGATCCTGAAGATTACTCCCCCCTAGAAATCTCTACATACACTTTATGAACAGCATAATGTAATTACAGAATGCCATATGAAATATTTTAAAAAAAACATCTGTTGAAATGTACAGCAATCAGTGGACAAAGACATAAAAAGCCTCAGATCATAAGCTTAGAATTCATATATTTTACTAAATCAGAATATGGTATCTTCTTAGCATAACAAGTGAATTCAGTCATTATGGATTGCAAACCATGGCATACTGTACAACTTAATGCAGGCTCAACATGGTGCTTATGACACCTGAAACCCATTTCCATGGCTGTACAATATAATAGATTGCAAAAGTGTCCTTTTGAGATTGCACACAATTGTTCAGCTAAAAATAAACAATCATGCAGCCTATGAGGAGTGATCAAATTTAGAATAGTTGGGAATATTAAGTTTCTTTACGAACTAGGCCAACATGGCTTGTTTGATAGTTAAATGGTGAATTGATGTAATTTATAAATCTAGCCGTCAGAAGTTTTTACATGAGTGATTAGGCTCTATAACTAATTTTCCTAGTACATCCCTACACCATTACTTTAGTTGGGTTGACACACTTAGCCAAAAGTGGCTTGTGGCTTAGCATATGTAAACTAGACAGTGTAATTATTGTACCATGATTTAGCATTTACATTTTTACCCAAGCGAGTCAGTGACGAGTTATTTAATAAACCAAAATAAATCATGATTTAGAGCAGTGGTTCTCAACCTTTTTAATGCCGCGACCCCCCCCCAACCGGTTGTAAATCGAGGACTACTCAACCGGTCGTAAGTCGAGGACTACTCAACTGGTGCAGCACCGTTTGCAGACTGGGGCTTTTGGCGGGCTCAGCAGGGCAGAGACAGCCTGGACAATTCCTATTGGCTTTTGAAAGCCAATAGAATTAGACTTTATTCAAGAGAGTCTATTCTATTGGCTTTCAAAAGCCAATAGAATAAAAGGGAGTAGCACAGCTAAGGAAAAGGGGGAAAGAAATGGTGGACTGCGTTGTTTGGCGACCCCCGTGAAATGGTCGTTCGACCCCAAATGGGGTCCTGACCCACAGGTTGAGAACCACTGAGTTAGAGTGTCTGTGAATAGTTCCCTATGAAGAGAGAAATTGTGCAGCCTTCAAATGTAGTAACTACACCCCTAACTGGATACAGCAAACTCTTCCTATCACAAAACTGATGTTATTTTATTTACAAGAATTAAATAGGGCTCTCATACCTGTAATATCTTCTAGCCCAGTACTATTCCTTCAAAATGTTCATGAAATTTACCTGGAAAAGAAGCAACAGAATAAATATTAAAACCTCCACTAATTGGGGTTAATAACAAATGGAAAAATTCTGTAGCGGAACGAGGTTCTGCTAACATTTATAGCAAAAAATATTGCATTTCAAAGTTTCGCCCTCACAGAATCCATTTCGGTCTAATCCTCTGACCCATCTCTACCAAGCAGCCCCTTAGAATAAAATTATTTTGTGGTCACGCCGTTTATATTAGGGTTAGGATTACTTATTCATATTACAGATCACCTATATTAAAACGAACATCATTTACTGCGAAGGAAACTCCCACCCGAGCAGGCTTCCGAGGCTGCTGCTTTGCAACTTTCCCATCCACAGGGACGGGGCTTCTCAACCTCAGCCACTCCATGGGGACTTCAACTCCCAGAATCCCCCCGGTCAGCATGCTGAGGGTTGAAACGCTGCTTTCCAAGGCTGGAGAGCAAGGAGTAAATGCCACAAGAAAAGTGGGATTTTCTCCTCAGCCTCGCGCTTTCACCGCCTCCCCTTCTTCTAACTGCCTCTCCGGCCGGCTCCGAATCCACCCGCTTCTCTTCCTGAGCGGGCTGAGCCTCGCGACGCTGCCCCGGCTCGGTCCCACCGCGAGTACCTGGCTACCACCGCCCGCGCTGCCTTCCCGGCTGCCAGACAACCGTTAACGCCGCTTCTCAACTGCCGTTCTTGAAAACCAAGACCCACCTAGCCGCCGGCACGTTCCTATTGGCTGTCAAGGTTTCCTTATCTTTCTCATTGGTCTGCCCAGATTTACTCCGCCTCTCCCGGTTGGTTATTGGACGGGGAGAGAATGGGGGGGCATTGAGCGTCGCATCGACGTCTCATTGGACGGAGAGTGCCCTTCTCCCGAACGTCGCGATTGGTGGGCCGCCTCCGGGCAAGGCGCGAGGATAGCCCGCGAGGAAAAGGGGCGTGCCCTGGAAGAGTTTAGTCCGCCTCCTTTCTGACGTCAGGTGGGCACGGAAGAAAATGGCTGCCCAAAACGTTCCTTGCTCGTTTCTGCGAGCCGCCGCTCTTCGGAGGCGTTTTTCCCACAGTCCAGCCGCGGCCGCTTCGGTAACCGCTGAGCAGATAGCGGAGAAGCTGCGGGAGCAGAAGAAGCCGAAAGTGGCCCCGGAGGTGAATCTGTTGGTTTGATCGGGAATCATGAGGTTCGGGGGGGGGGAGGTTGTTGGTTTTTCCCAGTATGCACCACGGAGAAACTACACTTCCCAGCGTGCATTGGTGGCTAGAAGTTTGAAAATTAAGCGAACTGGGTTTCCCAGCTACGCGCGATGCGGCAATGGAAGTTTTGTGATGTGCAAAATCCTAGAGCAGTGTTTCTCAACCTTGAGAATTTTAAGGCATGTGGACTTCAACTCCCAGAATTCCACAGCCAGCATTGTGGAATTCTGGGAGTTGAAGTCCACTTGCCTTAAAATTCTCAAGGTTGAGAAACACTGTCCTAGAAGGATTTGTTGAGATGCAGGAATAATGACGTGTGTTACCGTCCCTGCTTATTGTGAAGGATTCTATTGTGTAGACAATTTACAGACACAGCTTGACCAGTAAGTGATCTGACCTGGCTCTGGACAGATGCGATTATCCTTCCTATTCATAGCATTTCTTTGCCCGCCATCCTGTTAGCTTTCCAATAAAATCGTTCATGTTTTATATTTATATGAATATTTATATTTTAGGCTACCCAGGACTTGCATCAAAGCAAGCTGCAATAATCTTCCAAAAAAAAAAAAAAACATTCTCTTTAGCTGTTCAGTTTTGTTTCATCAGATTTATTTGAATCTATCTTTGAATAACAATTCTCCAAACTTGGAAAAGCAGACTTTTTAACAAATGAGATGGAAGAACTGCTCTCTCTCTCTCTTCTCCCCCCCCCTTTTCTCTCTCTCTCTCAGCCATGCTATCATTTTTCCTATAGCACCTTCACATCAATTTTCACCTTTCCCCAAAAGCAAAAATCCCCCTAACATATGCACTTTCTATGTAGCACCTTCTTTGGCACCTTGTCTTATATGCATTTCTGCTTTGTTATATGCTGTTGCTACCGAAGCTGTGCAGTAAAGAGACTAACTACCTGACTTGTTCTTCATTGACTATTCAAAGGTTCCAAAAGACCGAGTACTGCGGCGAGTGCAAGAATATGTTCAGCAGACCCGATGCTTCCAGCAGCTCCATCCTAACGTCCTAGCCAAGGTTCTCAAAAAGGAGATCCTGTACACGAACGAAGATATTGTAGTAATAAACAAGCCTTATGGACTTCCTGTCCATGGTAAGTGTAATATAATGCTGATTTTCTAGCAGTGTTGATCAAAATGTATTAGACTAGTTGGGTAATAAAAGTCCTGCTGAGACGTCAAATGATTTTGCGTCGGTTTCTGAGGCTTTATAGGAATTCATCCTGTGGAACTAATTCTTATTTTGCTTTCAGAATGTAGCTTGAGACTTCCTAGTTATATAAGTGGCAGATGCTTTATATTGTGGATTCTCTAAGCAAACCCTGCTTTCAGGTTTGTTTGTTTTTCTTTTTGTATACTGCATAGACTGGTATTAAAACCGATGAAAATAAACTGGCTTCATCGTATGTCTGAGCATGTATGTTTTGATAGTAAATATTGGAGGAGCAGCAAAAAGAACACCCGACTCTCAGATTACACTAATGTGTGTTTTCACAGGTAGCTCAACATAAAAAAAATATGTTTTTTTCTGAAACTGGTCCAACTTGAGTTTGATATTTGGAAATGCTGTAGCACCAATAAAAAAAACCTGTAGCTTTGGAAATTAGGTGATTTGTGTTAAGCATAAAATAGTTTGGTTAAGCTTGGTTGAATAAATGCACCTAACAATTATTTGTAAGCCGGGTTTTATGCCTTTGCATTATAAGTAAACCTAGTCTCTCTCTACTTCACAGGTGGCCCTCGGGTGAAGACATGCATTACAGATGTGCTGCCAATATTGGCAAAGATGTTAGGGGGCATGAAAGCTCAACCTCTGCATTTATGTCACCGGCTGGACAAAGAAACTACTGGAGTGATGGTCCTAGCAAAAGATGAGATGATTGCACACCGGGTCCAACAGATGTTCAAAACCCGTCAGGTGGAAAAGAAATACTGGTAGGAGAAATCTTACAAGTGATGAGTAAGTTGTTATTGTGACTTGATAAGAAACAGTGACTTTCAGTAAGACAAGAATCTACTAAGAACCGCCCTTCTGCAGTATGAATTATAACAGGGGTAGGCAACCTCGGTTTTTTTATGATTCATGGACTTCAACTCCCAGAATTCCTGACTCAGCTATGCTGACTTAGGAATTCTGGGAGTTGAAGTCCACGAGTCATAAAAGAGACAAGATTGCCTATGAACCCCGGAACCCTTGGTCTTCACGCAGAGTGTGTAGACCATTGGAGAGGGCTGAAATCCCTCTCTCTTCTTTTCATAGGGCGATTTGTATTGGAAAACCAGAGCCGGAAGAGGGGCTGGTGGACATTCCCATTCTGGAGAAAGAGGTGGAGAGCCACCAGTCGCACTTCAAAGTGAGTATTCCCGGCAGCAGAGATTTGCTGATTCTGGCCACAGCATTTCACTTGGAGACCTCTGGTTTAGTTATTGCTTAACAAACAGCAGTTAGGCAGATTTAGGATTAGCACACTCAATTCAGGAAACTCGCCAGCATCTTCACCAACATGGGTACCAGTTCTTGAAAGAAATGCTGAACAACTTGTACCTTAAGTATCACTTAAGTATCATAATTGCACTAGGTTGTGGGGTGCTTTATGTATGGGACGGGGTGTGTGTGTGTGTGTGTTGGGACTTCAAACCAGTCTTGATTCTTAGCAACTGGCTTGACAAATCCTTGCAGTTTTCTAGATAACATTTTCAAAAGTGGTTTGCCATGGTCTTTATCCTAGGGCTGAGAGACATGACAGATCTAAGATCCCTCCTTTGGCTTCATGTCTAAAGTAGGAAGAGAATTCTCCATCTCCTAGTTTCTAGCCCAGGGATAGGCAGCCTTGGCTCTTTTATGACTTGTGGACTTCAACTCCCAGAATTCCTGAGTCAGCATGGCTGGTTCAGGAATTCTGGGTATTGAAGTCCACAAGTCATAAAAGAGCCAAGGTTGCCTACCCCTGTTCTAGCCTGTTGCCTTTCCCAATACACCAAACTGGCTTTCTTGTTACGCCTATAATATTTATAAGTGGTGGGCCCACTTGAAATTGAGAGCAAGTGTTGGCCTCTAAAAGTTCTTATGTTACCTGTTCCTCTCTAGCTGCAGTACCTAAATGATGTAAGTCTGGATTAACAGTGGAGCAATTCAACAATTTTCTCCATTCTATGTAACCTATTAATCTTCTCAACTGTTGTCCTACTGGCTTTTTGGATGTTAATGAAGAATTGATTTTGAGTCATGTGCGTCTTTGACTTAGATGACACTTGCGCCAAATTACCGTCTATCTTTAGAAGACAAAAAGTTGCACAAAGTGCGCCGGAACAAAGATGCTCACTTGGCAGTGACCCGGTATCGTGTGCTGAGCAACTGGTCCTCTTGTTCTCTCCTTGAATTGGAACCAATCACAGGTAAGCAATTACATGCCCCTTTCTTGGATGCTTCTCATTGCCTTTCCTATTCTCTAACAATTGGGGTTAAGAAACATCATATCAATACCCATAAACCTCCTCAAGCATCCGAGAATGACCTTTTTTATCTTCTTATTTTTTTTCCCACTGAATCTAAATGAAATGCTATCAGATTGAAGTCTTAATTATTTTTTGATGTATGCAATAACCAAAGATTTGCATCGTTAGAACAATAAAATGATAGATATTGCAGAAAGGATTAAAGAATTGAGAAGAACAGTAAAATAAGAAAATGTAAACGCTATTATCCTGGTATAACATAACACTTAAGGTCGAAGCCTGGTGGAAGAAAAATATCTGTATACTTGGGATGTCTGTTTAAGGGAAGACATTGTACTGTTAAGCTATTCATATCCCTTTTTGCTTTTTTCTGCTAAAATTTGTATATCAAGCTGCTTGTACCAAGCAAAGCTTAAAATTTCCTCTCAAGATAAATTGCATATGAAAATGATTCTGTATAACCTGACCAAAACCAACCAATATATATTTAATGGTGACGCCTCTTGGTTTTTTTTCCCATATGTTCATTATGCAGGAGTGAAGCATCAACTCAGAGTCCACTTGGCTTATGGTTTAGGTTGTGCAGTCCTTGGGGATCACAAGTATTCTCACTGGAGCAAGCTAGCGCCACAGGTAAGAGGGGTATAAAGAAGAACCTGGATGGATATGGCCCTGAACTAAAAATCCAAGAAAATGGTAGGGTGGGCTTCAGGGTAGGTAGGATTGCCAAATAATATTTTGTTGGATTCAGTGTAATTAGAAATGCAAGTGGATCATCGTTTATTTTATTTTTTTTAATGCATACATAGAAACTCTCTCCAGGTACATTGAAGAAACTGGGTTTGGAGCAAGTCAAAGCACGTTATCTCCCTCTCCACCTACATGCCTGCGAGCTCACCCTGCCTCCAATAAAGAGCAACGAGGAGCAGGAAATCCACCTGTTTTGCAAGCCACCCGTCTTCTTCAAGCGCTCCTTAAAACGGTTAAAGCTAGAATTTCCAGAACCGAAACAAAAAGAAACTAAGAGTGATTAGCTAGGCTATTTCGTTCATGGAACGCCTTTTCCTGACTTTCTAAAGCCATGGGAGGATCCCGTGAAAGGTGAAGCGCCCGGAACCTGATGTTCTCAGCTGGGAAATCACAACGTATGCTTCTCTGGAAGCTTGCAGCCTTTCAGAGGAAACGCCTGCCTAGCAACTGAAAACCAAACTGAGGAACAGTCACAAATCTTCCCGGGCCATATGTATGCTGGTCTCAAATGAAACTGGGAAATTTGGGAGAATTCAGTGGTTTATATGAGCGGATACATCTGGAATAAGAATTAATTGGGTGCATTTTTTTCAGTATTGGCTGACTCTCAGCCAAACAGAGTTAGCTATTCTACTTAAATAAAGGATGTGGCCTGTGCTGAATGAATGTGATGTAATTGGGACACTGAGGACAGGTTTCTTAATGATTGGGGTGTACAATAGTTGATGGAGCTATGAACTGAGGAATTCTTGGTTCACATCTTGCTTCTGCCATGAGCTTACAGAACAGCCCTAAGAAAGTCAGCCTCAACTTTTTTTTCACAACTGTGATAGCGCATGTAGCTGCTTTATCCCAGGTCTGACTACTGCTGTCTATCAACTCTGAATGGCAGCTGGAGAGGGCCCAGATTGAGCCTGCTTTTTTCATGCAAATTGTGTTCTCCCACTGAATTTCATCAGTTATTTCCCTAACGCTGCAAGTATAGGCATTGTAGAAATTACAGATAAGAACTGTTATTAAAATAATTTAGAATGGTTCTTACGAAAATTAGAAGAACATGTTGGGGTTGATTTGACTGTTTACTGCAAAAATATTTTGAGACCCACTAAAGAAACTGTTAAAGGATTAGTACTATATACAAATCGAAAGTATTTCAGGGGGAAAAACAGGATACTGATTTATGTGCGAAGAAAACTGGAAGTCTTGGAAGCCTTAAAAAGCCACATGTATATGAATTCAGCCACTGTAGTTTACAGGAGGAGAGTTATGTTAGTCTATGATCAAAGCATAAACTTTTATGAATTACCCCTCACTTCCTCAGATGCATGGGATGGCTAAACTGACATAGGATTTTAACTGGGATAGCGTGGAAGGTGGAGGGAGATACAGGGAATGTGTGAGATAGATAACCTTATCAATTGCAGTGTGCTAAACATGTGCATTAACCCACTCAAGCTTTTTGAGGTTCCCTGAAATCTTCCCATATGTTAAGCTTTGGAGACTTAACATGTTATTTTGCTTCTTATTTTAGCAAGGAAAATCACACAGCTGGGACTTGGTTTTGCCACCAATTTAAGCAATATGCTTTAGGAGCAGCCGCAATTTGTCTGATGGCCACATGCAAGTTGTGGATTATCTAAATTGTGGATCCTTACAATTATGTTTTAGAACTGGGCTGCATTTAATTTGATGAGGAGGGAGTTGAGAGAAGGGAAAAATGCAATGAAATGTTTGAAATTCTTCATCTGGCTTTGATAGCAAATGCAGAAGAAAGTGTTGCGGACTCACGTCACTAAACCACAGAAATGAAATTCGTAGTAGTTCTGAGTGGGTTTCTTTCTGCCCCTTTCAACTCTGAAAATATGAACTGTTGGCCAGTCATTTAATATCCACCCCTGGAGATTCTTGGGTCTGAAAAAATCAAACACGCTGGCCTACCTCTTTACCAGTGGTGGCTAGAAATAACATCTGCTTATGAAAGAGGGAGATAAAACCACACGGCCCAGCCTTGCCATGTTAAGCCTGCGGTTCGCCAAAGACGGCGGAGCCCTTACCAATCACAGCATACCCCAGTCAACTGCTCTATTTCTGGGCTGAGGGTAGTTGCAGAGAACAGGTTGCCCTGTAATTATCATTCTGTTTAGCAAACAGCCAAGCTGGTCGTTTGCAACTGCCTGATGCTTAATTCCCCATGGAGAAAAAGCATCCATCAAGCCACCTCCCCCTTTAGATGTAGCTGAGCCCTTGGAGAAGCTGTCTCTTCTGTGCGTGCATGCTTGGCCCCTTCAGACCCGAGCCATGTCGATCGCACATACGGCTGGCAAGTACATGCTCTCTGATGCGCTGCTTCCAGACCCAAACCAGTCCAGAGCAAAAGGGCTTTACCTGGAGCTGCCATGCGATCGCATCATGAAGTTTGTCACAGTGGGGCTGCCGCTCTTCTTGGTGTCTCTCATGTTTGCACAGGAATTTTCCACCGGTAGGTCAATTTATTATTCTTTGAAGGGGGGCTGGGGGTGACTGTTGTTTCTTGAGGAGGCCTTCCGTGGGGCTGAGGAGAGATAGACACCAATAGGGAGATGCCAGCAGAAGGGGCAAGGACAAAATGTTCCTTTTGTTTTTTTAAAGGAGTTTACTACAAGCCCAGTATGCTAACTTGAAACAGACTTTGATATTGAATTCAGCATTTGCAAAATCAATCCAGGAATTTTCATATCTGAAGCCTTGCAATTTGGCCTCTCTGGATTCCCTGGGGCTTCAATAAATATGGCATTGAACTGTAAAGCGAATTCAAGCCACACAATTTTAACATAAAATGCGAAATCTCCCCTGAACTGAAAATGGTGACCTTAAAAGACATTTTACTTCTGGTAGACAGTGACTGAGAAAACATGTCAATCTTCAGCCTGAGTGATGCTTCTATACAGGGCAAATTGGAGGTTTGTTTCCAGAGACAGTTAAAAATTATTCCGTATAAGCAGCCGACTGCATTTCCTGTCCAATGGAGTTCTCCAACTAACAAAAGGGAAGTTCAGAGATGACAGAGAATATCAAATGGGAGTAGTCTGAAGAAATCCAGCTTCAAATTTTCACCCAGCCATGAAGTTCATGGCCTTCAAACAATCACTTATCTTTCAATGGGATCTTTGTGATGCGAGGGCTGAATCCATATATGTATCTTGGAAAAGAGAGACTGGAATACATCCAGATGTTTCTTTCTCAAAATAATTCCCGTTAAGTTTGGCAGCTGCAATTCTAGGTATTTTTCCTTGGAAACAAGCCCCATTAAACACCACAAAAAGGATAATTCAAAATAACCAGCACTACACTGAATAAGGGAGGATACAAAGGTATCCATTCCAGAAGCAACAGTGTCTCGTTTGATAACATGTACCAAAAGCAGGATGAGCTGTGTGTGGCTTTGCACAAGTCTGACATTGGTTAGATGAGGTTTCATGGCTGCAATTCACAGCCTGCCTCAGGAATTTATTTCTGGAAAAGGATGCCTGTGTGAGATTTAGTCCATCCAGATGGAATAAACAAAACTTATTTCTCTCTTTGGCTTGTCTCAAAGCTTGTAAAATATGTTTATTTTTTTTAGCAGACCCAGCCTACAGCGATGATGAACAGAAACAATTTACAAAAACTGCCATAGCACCGTGACAGCATAATGGGCCCAATCTCTTAATTAGTTAACAAAAAAAGGGGGGGCAGTTTGATCCCAAATGCTGGCTTGGAGGGATTAAGGTTGTCTTAATTGACTACGAAGACAATCCTTGCTAGAGGTGGTTCAAAACGTAACAGAGAAGCTCTCTATTTTTACTATGGTAGAGGAAGCTGATGGATGCTGCAGTGCTGGAAAGAAGGGTAGAGATAAATACGACTCTTTCTGTCATAGGATCCCAGATCAGCTGCTTCTCTCCTAGCAACTTCACAGCTGAACAGTCTCATTTTGTTGATGCCGTTTGTTGGGACTCTTTGCTTCGCTACGATTCTGAACCTGCAGGAGACGCTACATCCAATTCCCTCTGGGTCTTCAAGGTACTGGGGTGGAAAAGAACACTATCCGTTATCTCTTGGGTGCACACCATGTGGAGCCCAGGGTGTAATTTGTAATCTTCTACCCCAGTGTTTCTCAACCTTGGCCACGGTTGAGAAACCCTGTTCTACCCTTCAACTGACTACAGTATTCTCTTTTTGTTCTGTTTTTCTAGGTCTTCCCCTATTCTTTGCTGGTCATTGCAGTTGCCATGTACCTGCCTTATCTGCTGTGGAAATACGCAGCCGCCCCCTCACTCAACTGCGATCTGTTCTTCATCATCGATGAACTAGATAAATCCTATAACCGCTCCATCCGCTTGGTGCAATACATGGTGAAACTCCAGCAATCGGAAGAAGATCCAGAGGATTTTTGGGAGGAGCTTGACCTGTAAGTGGTAGACGGATAGGTGATCTGCGGGCTAAATTTCTCTCTCTCTTCCCGGAATTTTCACTTACAAAACCACAGGTTAACAGGAAAGCATTACATTGCAAATTTCTCCCTGCATTCATAATATATATATATCAGTGGCTATTCTTGGGATTATTCCTCCTTAACCTCTAAGAATGTCCTCTTCTGTGTTGGTTGTTTTTAAGCCTCGCATGTGGAAAAGTAGCACCTCACTAGAAGAGTTCTAGTTTGTTCTTATTTTTTTTTCTTATTTTTTTTCCCCTCCCCAGGGCTCGCAGTGAGAGATACTTTGAGTTCCCTCTCCTGGAGAGGTACCTGACTTGCAAGCAACGTTCCCACTACTTGATCATCATTTATGTATTGAGGAACCTCTTCCTCCTCTTTCTTCTGGCTGTCAGCTGCCTCTACTTGGGATACTGTCACCCGCAGGTCTTTTTTCACGACAAATTCAGATGTTCAATCAAGGCAGGGCTCCTGGGAGAAGACTCTGATGTTCCAGATTGGATTCCTTGCAAGCTGGTTTTCTTCTCCGTTTTCCAAGTTACCAGCATCTGTCTTGGCTCTGTATACATCCTTGTGGGCCCAGTGGTCCTCTACCACCTGCTTCAGCTGTGTCAGTGGGACAAGCGGCTTCTGTCCATTTATGAAATGCTGCCGGCATTTGATCTCCTGAGCAAGAAAATGCTGACTTGCCCCTTCAATGATCTCAATATCATCTTGCTCTTCCTGCGAGCCAACATCTCGGAGGTCAAATCTTTCAGTAGACTGAGCGTACTGAGTACTCTCAAGGATATTTCACCCAACAAAGAAAGCATAGACACAGTTGTAGATTTTATGACTCTTCTTGCAGGCCTGCAGCTAGCAAAGCCAAAGCATAATTCCAGTGCCAACGAGAATTTGTTCCATCGTGAGAATGAAGTTGGTAAGTAACTCCCACTGAAAGCTGTGCTGAAATCTGCTGGTTTCCCAGGGTGTGTGTGTTTTTTTTTACTGTACAAAACATAGTTCTTGTTTCTCTAGTTTATGCTCAAGGTGTATTCTTTTGATATCTGTGTCTTCTCTTTTGTTACAAGGGAGCAAAGGGCAACCATGTAAATTGTTGCTCCAATACTTTGCAGCCTCTTTGGCTGCTCCACTCCAGATATCCAAAAATACCCACTGAGTCTTTGTGGTGGGTCTTTGTTTGGAATATAACCAAATACAACCCAAGCTACTGTAGTCTGAGGTTGTGCACTTTTTTTTTATATAAGCCAAGGTATTATTTTAATCAACTCTTGTTGTAACTGAGTAGACCTCACAAGTTCTCCTACTTTTGTGGAAAGCTCTGGGAATTTTCTTTCCTTGGAAAAACCTTGTGCAATTACACTTTCTATAACTCCATAAGGGCTGGGGGTAGAATCACTTATTTCCCACATGACTGACCTGATTTTATGACTTTTTTTGTGACTGCGGTCATTAAGCAAACCGATTGCTTGCTATGGGGAGTTTTTGCCAAAAGCTGGAAGTAAACACTGGTTTTCAGCAAAAATGCTGTGAATCATAGTCAGTTGCCAAGTGCCCAAAATGAAGTCATGTGACTGCAGGGGGCGGGGCCTGTTGGAACTTTGGAGTTGGGTCATAAATACCTTTTGTGGGGGATTCATCATAACCAGGGGTCTTCAAACTTGGCCCTTTTATGATTTGTGGACTTCAACTCCCAGAATGCCTCAGCCAGCGTGCCTGGCTGAAGAATTCTGGGAGTTGAAGTCCACAAGTCATAAAAGGACCAAGTTTGAAGACCCCGATCATAACTATGAACAGTTACTATGTGGCTGGCCATAAGGACTAATTGTACTATTTTATTGGGTTGTTATATGCTACCTAAGTCATTTTTCATGAGATAGGAAACTATATAAATTTGGTTAATAAATAATAAATTATATTCCATCTTAACCTCCAGGAGGAAAACAGTTCAACTATCTGAATTACAATATCCAATTCCAATCTAGGAACTGCTGCATCATTTTAATACAGTCCCTTTTTTTCTTATACCAGAAATGAAACCTGCTTTGGAAGCCAAGGAAAAGTGATTCAGGAATGGAGTCGATACTGCACCAAATAAAAAAATTCGAACTGGTGAAGAGCACTGAACGCAAAAAAGGACTTTTCCCTATGTGTACTTGGGTCATCTTTATTCTTTCTTTTGTTGGACCACTGTCCATTAATACTTTTGTTTTCTGCTATTACGTCCATCGATTTCACCCTTATAATAAATATAAATGCACCAGTTTTGTAACTGACCCCTAACTTCTGCATTGTTTTATAGTCTTATAAAGCTATATTGATATTTCCTTTATGGTAACTTCAGCACTTCTGGCCCTACAAATCTCTGCCGCTTTCCTTAAGCTTTGATCGGATACTTTTAAGATCTTCATTTTAAAAGTGGACTTTTGTTACCTCACATTTTCTACTCGGAAGTCACTAAGCAGTTTATATATATAAAAATAAACCTCATGCATTTTTAAAAGAGCGTGTGCACAAAATCCATGGAGGGGACAGTTTGAAATACATCTTAATTGCTTTACACAATAAAGTGAAGCTTAAAAGCTAGATGAAATTGATAAGCTGGACCACCTTTCCAACGTTAAAAAAAAATCTGGATAATTGATTTTAAATATTATTCTTTAAACTTGGCACTATCATCATAAAGACCAGTGAGTAGGTTCACAGGTCTTTATTCATTGTTTATTGCATAAAACTAAAAATAGCTAGGTATGCTCCCCTTTTAAATAATGGTTAGTGTTAAAAACATGCTGAGTCAAAGCTGAACTTTGATGATTTAAGTATTTGACTTGTCAGAGCTGAGCAACAGGCTCAAAAAGAAGCAAAGTATTCAGAGGAAATGCTCTGGTTTTAAATAATTTATGGTTTTAATTAAATATTAAGGGCTGTGGATTTGGGGGAGTCTGTAATTGGTGCCTTCAAGTCAGACTTGAATCTTGCAGAGACTTCTTCCTGAAAATGTTTTTTTTTTGCCCCGTTTTTTGGAAGTGATTTCCTCTTTGTCTTCTTCCCAGGTCTCACCAAGAGAGACTGGTCCAAAGTCCCCCCCCCCCAGCTGGCATTGTTTATTTATTTATTTATGAGACTTATATACCGCTTTAAGTGCAAGCACTCTCTAAGCAGTGTATACCAGTAAGCAATGTATATATATATTTACATTGCCCCCAACAATCTGGGTCCTCATTTTACCTACCTCGGAAGGATGGAAGGCTGAGTCAACCTTGAGCCGGTGAGATTTGAACCGCTGACCTGCTGAACACAGTCAGCTAAAGTGGCCTGCAGTACTGCACTGTAACTGCTGCGCCACCTCGGCTCATTGTTCCTAATGTGGGGGTAAAACTCATGGTCTCCCAATTTCTAACCCAATGCCTTTAACTGTGGCCCCAAACAGGCTTTCTTAAAGTTTAAGACCAGCCTTTTAAACTGTTCCTGGGAAGAAGTGAAGACAGAAATCCAATACAAATTAAACTGATGCTTCAGCATTCAGTAGCAGCACCAGTTCTGCGTTTTAGATGGATAGTTCCTTTTTTTGTAAGCAGCCACATATGCAGATTGTTACATAATGATTGTGAATTATAGCAGGCACAAATAACTTTAACAAGGGAGATCAATGGCCTAGCAAACCCATTATAGAATCTCTTGGTAATTGAATCCAACAGCCTTCAGTGCTCAGTGGAAAAGCAAAATGTAAACCAACATTGACAACATTGAGAGCTTATATTAACTACATCCCCATGTAAGATATCAAAGCATAAAGACACTGAAATGATGTAAGCAAAAGAAAGAATGTATTATCAACTGACAAAATTCACCACGGTTTGTTTTCTCTTTTTTTCATATACCAAATAAGATCTTGGGCTTAAGAATGTAAAAGAAAAAAACAGAAGAATATTATTTATGACAAAGACGAGCATATTTAGAGAAGGGAAAAAACTGCAGAGCAGGCAATGCAGTGTCAGGATTGTCAGACTTGTATCTAACTGTAGGAATCCTTTTTTCTTAAAAGTTTTTTGCAAATATGTAGCTCTGACTGGAAGCATTCTGAAGCTATCTGCGTTTGCCCTAGACCTTGTGAGAAAAAAGATGTTGGACTAAGCTGATCCAAAATGTTTCTTATTTCTTAGAGCCTACATATAATTAGAGGGAAGGCTGAAACTTAAAGCAGTGATCTTAACTTCCTTTAGAGTAATTCCTGCCAGGGTGAATGATTGAATATTCAATTTTGAGACCACTTAAATCAGAAAGAAAATTTGGAATTTTTTAATCATGGGTGGAAATCATACTTCCCCTTTGCTACTGCAGATTATTTCCTCAACCACAACAAAAACACTCTGACTGGCACAACAATGAAAGTATAACTCATTCATTTTTAAATCATACAAGACTATTATCCAAAATATTTGCCTATGCAATCTACAACAATCCAAACACCCATAGATTTCTGGAACTATGAAAGAAGAACAATTGTAAATCAAGAATTTTTGTCTGGCACTTTTTGTACACTTGTAAAGACATTATCAAATTTAGGCCCTGCTCCAGTTTACTTTTAAGGACAAAATGGTAGTCCTTGACTTACGACCAAAACTGAGCCAGTTTTGTTGCTAAGTCAGACAGTTAATGTGGATTTTGCCTCATTTTACAACCTTCCTTGCCATTGTTGTTAAATGAAACACTGCAGTTGTTAAATTAGTAACACGGTTGTTTAGTGGATCTTGCTTCCCCATTGACTTTACTTGTCAGAAGGTCACTATGGCCGTCATAAATGAGTCATTTGCCAAGCATCTGAATTTTGATCATGTGACCATGGGGATGCAGTACTGTTGTAACTTTGAACAGTCAGTAAACAAATTGTTTATATGTCAAGGACTACCTGTACAGTGTTTGGAGTTTTCTCCCAGGTTCACACACGAATGGCTAGGAAGTTTGGGACAAGTGACAAGAATGCTCCATGTCATGTGATTTTAACTGCTAGGCAAATATTTATACTCTTTGGGATAGAAAATCATCACTCTTTGCATATTAAACATAAGTCTGTGCTGAATAATTGCATACTTTTGAATAAATGAATTCAAATGATGAATAATTTTTTCCATCGGAAGTTCTGCATAGAAATTTGAGGATTTAATTTGAGATGCCTGCTGGAGGCTCATGGATTCATTTTCAAAGAATGATTATGTAGACAAACATGTATCTTGCTGTTGTCTGCAGATTTCATTTTAAAGTAGGTATTTTTATCTAGGGTAAAACTTTCCATTAAATTAAGCATGACTTGATTTTTTTAAAAAATAGAATGAATATTACATGCAAACACTCCATATCCTTTCATTTGCAGTTAAATTACCATATTTGCCCTGGCTGTCTCAACACCCATGTAATTATAGGGAACGTTAACACTGTGCTTTTTCATTCCAACTCTTAAATTTGTTAAAGAAAAGAGCCATACAAGGGATCAAAAATATAGGCACAGCACTTGAAAACATTTTAAATGAACGTTCAACCCAGGGATTTGTTTTTAGAATCACAACTGAAATTCTCTTAGATACACCTCCTACTTGCTCCCTAATTTAGCAAAAAAACCCATGTAAATCATGGACTTCAGAAACCCCTACTACAGCTAATCTGAAGTACATCTCGATCTACATTCAGTCCACCCTTGTCATAGATCAATCTTACTCTGCCACAGGAGGGCAAGATCAATTCAATGACAGCTGTTCCACAGTAAGGATGGATGGAGAAGTCACTTGGTCCATATTTAATTATGAACTTAATTCTGCATTGTCCAATCAAGAAATAAGCTGAATCTTACTTCTCCTTTGAAGTATCAACTTCTCTGAATTGTGCAAAGTTCATCAATTTATAAAAAGGGCATTGAGGCAAGTGTACAAAAATGCCAGCATTTCAAAAACAGCAGTTATTAGAAAAAAACAATTACTGTACAGAAATACACACTTTAGCTCAAACAGCAAAACGATTGTGTGCATTTGAAAATAAAATATCCATTTTGATTCAAGCTTTAAAAAAAACAGCTAACATGGAAATAGAACATTTAAAATTGTTAAGTTAATAAAATTACAAGTCCGCAATACACTGAAACTGGCAGACTCACCCATCTATATTCCACAACCCAGTGCCAGAAGTTAATTTTCAAAGAGCAAAGTCAAATAATCTATACCACCTGGAATCCTCTAGCTGAAATAAGTCTAGCACATAAAACATCTATCTTCTCTTACCCTCAAGTCTGTGTTATTTAACACAGATCAATCCATTATTACTGTTTCTTATACACTGAGAAACCTCATGCATCTGCCTGACTGGCTAGGGAATTCTGGGAGTTAAAGTTGCCAAATTTAGAAAACTCTGGTTTAAATAGTATATCCAACAGACGCCAATTCGCTCAGTTTGGGTGCAAAATCCTGGCAAGTTGCTCCTCTAAGACAAACATACAACATGCACACACAAGTGAGGAAATCAAGTTGATCCAAACCCAATATGGGGAAAACTTCCCTGGCTTTTGGCTGGAGCCCAGGATTTTGCTTGAGAAAAGCAATACACTTCTATGTTCTTATTTTTGCAAAGTGACATTGTGCTTTTAATGTAACATTTCATATTTGAAAGGGTTTTACTTGCTGTGAGACTTAGTTGCTGCAAGTGGTAGTACAACATAATGTAGTTCTGGAATAAAATGAAAACCCAAGAGCTTTATTTTAATCTGGAGGTCAACAGTAGTTCACTCCAGGGCAGACAAGATACACAGTCTAGATATCACTTTAATGCATCTGCCAACATCACTCAACTTGCCAAGATTGACATCCAGCAACATCTGGAATGCCATAGCTCGGCCATTCATTTTAGCACAAGGTGTGGCTTGTATTACGCTTACTCTTGTAATAGTTGCATAGAAGTGTGAGGGGGGAGAATGTTGAGTGTTTGTTCTCTGCTTTCCTTATAACATTCCTTTGCAGATCAATTGGGGACAAGAGAAGAGCAAATGGCTGGACTAGTACAGCATTTTGCAACTGGCCCATCCAACCCATATCTGTACTTGGGAACTTGGCCTGCTAAATTTCAGAAGGACGTTTAAACATGTCAATGTTCCCAGAGGAAGCTTTTGTTGACCACCCATCCTGCCTTATCATTCAGAATCCTGGCTCTCTCTCAGGTAACCAGGGGTTGTTTTAGAAGTGGTTTGATTTCTAGCAAAGTACTTATAAAATAATTCCAATTATTATGGCACCTCAGGCAGGTAACAAGAGTAAGAATCGCCAACTGATCCACCCTCCCTGCTATGACCTTTCTGGCAAGTAAGTAACTGGGTTGTTCATTTTAAAATTCTTCTCTGCAGTCATCAACCTGAGAAGTTTACTACTTTGAGAAAAGGCAGCTGTGACTGTGCTCCATACTTCTTTTTTTTTTCTGCACTCTGGGTTTGCAAAATAAGCTGCTGATTCCTCTTTCCACTCTCAGCTCACAGAAAAATCCATGCAGGATTATTGTCGGAAAATGTAATGAAGGGAGGGGCAGGCAATTCCTGTGGATTGTAAATGGGACACTGTTTGTATTCACAAGGCCATTCCGACCAGGCGTAGCGTAAGCCCTTTATGCCATCTGAACAGGCTGGGCTCTGCAGTATTACTGAGTAGGAAGAGGATGACATAATGGATGCCTGTTTCCAACTGCATGTTCCCTGATTAGAACAACACACCTGCAAAAAGGCAAGAGAGAGCAATTGCTTCAATTGCAGATTCTGCATCTTTCAAAGCAACAACGGCTGAGGGCTTGTGTTAATTTGTGAACAAGAGTAAAGAACAGATGTTTTAGTTCTTGTTACTCCCTCTATACATGTAATTTCCCCCCATCTAAATCTCATCCTTTTAATTGTGATGGTTCTATGAATCTCACTGGAGAAAAGATACAATGACTTTCTATGTTAAGGATTAGGGGAACTTGTGCAAAAAATGTATTATTATATTCATTAAAGGTTGCCATAGCTGAATGCCTCTTAACAGGATGACAAGTAGATGATGGTTTAATATATTGCTTCCTACACAGCACAAGATAGGCAGACAACACTCTCAGAATTTCGGCTGAATTTCCCTCTCATGCCTTGTCTT